TAAAGTTTGAAGTAATAAAAATGTCTGATTACAATAAATCCATTAATTCTTTAATATATATATATATATATATATATATATATATATATATATATATAGTGTGGCTGGTCCTGCACAAGGCCTTCTCCACTATAAACAAATCTCATGTGCCGGTGTCGGAACGTCGGTTTCCTGGGGACTTATCGGCCTGACCCTCATACGTCGAACGCGACGGGAGAGTCGATTATATAAATATAAAAACATATTAACAAAAGAAATGACCACACAGACATATATTTTATAACTTTAAACGTTATTTTAGTGGATATCCATATCTGAGTAGACGCATATTTTATTTATTAAGCAAAGCAGTATATTCAATTATTTTCGTTTACCAGCATGACTTTTTCGAGGAATCGTATTAAGCAAAAATATGCGCTCTACGGCGAGATTTGAACCTGCGCCCCACTTCGCAGGAGAAATCGTTGTTAGATCCGACGTCCTTCAGAACAGTTCAGCCACATTTCTTTCATTTCATGCTATACAAACATTTCTAAAGATTTATCTTTATGCCTATCTATGACACGGCCACATGTCATATTTGCTAGAACTTAAGATATTAACGACGAGAAAATGAATAAGGAGGTCAAGTCCACAGATTTTATGACAGGGAAAACAATTGCATAAAAACCTGATTTTACTGTCTATAACTTCCTCACAGGAAAATATGATTAACCCGACACAAGATAAGTTTATGCGGTCGTAAATGCTCTGTTTTATAATAAACAGTATTAAACAACATTTACCGGCCTGAATGTCCGAGAAATTTTCATAGAAAATATTCGTCCTCCGAATTTACTTAAATATTCGTCTTCCGTCATTTACTTAAATATTTGTATCTATAAAAAGAATGTATAAACATAAAAATGTCTTAAAATAATTGTCGGACTTTGTCCATTTTATAATGTGTGACGTCATTTGTTTACATTTGATACGCCATACGATATAAATGTACGTGAGAGATTCATAGAAGATTGAAGTTTAAAAGCAGTAAATTCGATCTTGCTAACCGAAAGCTCCTCTGTGGCCGAAACGGTTAAGGCAGGTCAGGCTATATGACGGTTTCGTATAGGATACAGTTTCGAATCCTGTCGGAAGACACATAAACTTTCTATGATAGTTTTTCGGACATTCAGGCCGGTAAATGTTGTTTAATACTGTTTTTTTATAAAACAGAGCATTTGATTAAATTTCTGTATCTATAAAAAGAATGTATAAACATAAAATGTCTTAAAATAATTGTCAAACTTTGTCCATTTCATAATGTGTGACATCATTTGTTTACATTTGATACACCATGAGCAGATATGAAATATGAATGTACGTGAGAGATTCATGGAAGATTGAAGTTTAAATACCGTAAATTCGACCCTGTTAAAATGTATTGCTGATCATTTTGCTATAAATAGGTATTGTTGGCGATTTTACTATATAAAAATGTATTGTCCGTATTTGTGCTATAAAAATAGAGTTTTGTTTTTGTTTAGGGGTTCCCTATTTGCCCATAGCTGAGATCCTGTGGTACCATCCCGGGCCAGGGTGGACCCGGGAACAACAGCAATTAAGAGGTAGTTCCTCGCTTGTCAAAACCTCCAGTTTCCCGATCTGAAGAATTGCTGCCGGATGTAGTTTATCGTCATATCCAAAACTGACATTGTTAACGCTATAAAAGATAGGAAGTCAAGGAGAGCCAAAAACCCCAAGATCCTGAAAGGACTCGGTATATGATAAGTATAAACCCACCTCGTTCCAAGCCTTTTTTGCATAGTCGGCTGGTTTTTAGTATAGATTCGCGAATTCCATGTGCCGTACAACGCATGGGCTTCAAGCTATCCCGGTGACGATGTATCATTTCAGCCCAAGCAAGTCAGTAAAACCACTAAAAGAGTTTAGTGAATATGAAAGAATAAGAGAAAAGAGAAACATTATTAAGGAACGAGAACAATAGAAGTGTAATCAAGAAAACAATAGATAACGATTGACATTGTATTTGAATCTTTGAAGATCAAAGTTGGCTGGAAAGCGTAGAGCCGAGTGAGAGTTCCACAAGCCGGAAGTACGAGAAAATAAACTTTTAGCATAGAACTTATGGTTACATCTTGTCAATTCAACTGAATTGATGAGACCTCCCCGCCAATCTAGTACTGCGCTTAAATTCATAATGTCCAGGTACCATAGCGAAGAGTTCATCCGAACAGTTCCCATGGACTGTATTTATAGAAAAAGTACAGGTAAGCTACATTACGACGGTGATAGAGAAGACAGAAAATGTGTGGGTGTGTAGAGGAGAGAGAGAGAGAGAGAGAGAGGGCAAAGAGATTAATTCATCCAGCCACTAAGACAAGGGATTACTGAGTGTGAACGAATAAGAAAAAGAAAACATTATTAAAGCGCGTGAGCCATAAAAGAATCAAGACAACAGTATTTTTCTCAAGAATGTATGACAATTTGCAGATTATACAAACGGAATTTATGAAGAGTCATGTTGGCCTAATTTCTGAAAAAAAAAAAAAAAAAAAAAAAAAAAACACAAAAGGATTTAGTGGTATTATGAATCCTTTTATCTAGCGAGATAATGACAGCGCCCTCTTTTAGTCGAATCTTGCCCTTTTGTGGGCAGCGTTTGGAGTGGCTTAACAGACCAATCTTTGCATGGCACTCTCTTCTGCAGGCATGACAAATGAAGCCGCAATGTGGAATGCAGGTCTGAAATTTATCTCTCTTCTTCCTTCGCTCACTTCTGATCTCCAATAGTTGGGTTCGCTTTTTTCCAGGCCTTTCTTACTCCCCTATGAACAGTATTGTGCCAGCCACCGTGATCCTCAGCTAACTGTTTACTCTCTCTCTCTCTCTCTCTCTCTCTCTCTATATATATATATATATATATATATATATATATATATATATATATATATATTAAGAATATATGTATATATATATATATATATATATATATATATACGTTAAGAATATATAGATGTATATATATATATATATATATATTAAGAATATATATTATAAATTAATTGATTTAAAATATGGTTATTTTCGCTACACAGTTCCAACCATGTTTCAAAATAGAAGCTAAAAACCCCTAATTTTATTTTTGCAATTAAATTAAAAGCATTAGTTCCATTTCATCTTCAAGCGAATTTTGGAGTAACTTTTAAAAATTACCGGGTTTTAAAGACACAGCTAAAATCACGTTTCCATGGTTACAGAATATTCTACTAGAAGTTTTTAGCTTCTATTTTGAAACATGGTTGGAACTGTGTAGCGAAAATAACCATATTTTAAATCAATTAATTTATAATATTAATGCTCTGTAAATTTACATTGAGCACTATTTTGTAAAAATAAAATATCTATAAGAACACCGGATTTTATATCTTACTGTTCTTTCTTTTATTTTTATACATATATTAATAATATATATATATATATATATATATATATATATATATTAAGAATATATATATTATTAACGTGCGTATATATATATATATATATATATATATATATATATATACTAGCAGCATGGCCCGGCGTTGCTCGTGCTTGATTCAAAAATCGTATGACTCATACAGCAATCGCTATCAATTGACTTAAAATATTTTTGCCCTTCCTTACCTTTAAAGGAGTGCCCTTTGCCGTGCTGATGTTGCTACATGCCTTACTTCTTGCCTATCTCACACTGCGATTTTTTTCTAAGCCGTGCATTCGTTACACACACACACACACACACACACACACACACACACACACATCCTGCCTTTTATAGATATATATTCTTAAGAAATGGAATGGAAGTGGCCGAAAATTCCATTGCAAATCTGATGTTGCTGTAAAAATCGTTGATGTATCGTTTGAAGTCATGGAGAGTGTTCTCAGCATGTGTCCATATAAAAAGATACCATATATGTATCTGTGTTAGTGGAAAGGTTCTAGGTGATATCTACTTAACATTTGTATTCTTTAGGTAGGTAGGTATCCATTTATCTTGCGAGATAATGGTAGCGTATTTTTGGTTAAACATTGTCCTTTTGCGAGCACCGTTTGGAGTGGTTTAACATTGGATTGATTTCTTTTCCGTAGGTGTGATAGTTGAAGCTGGAATGTGAAATGGAGGTCTGAAATTTATCTCTCAGCTTCCTTCATTTCCTTCTGATTTCCAACAGTTGGGTTCGTCTTTTCCAGACCTTCCTTACTCCTCCATGAACAGTATGGTACCAGCCGTTGCAAACGTCTCTTAGCTGTTCCCAGCCACCAGAGTCGATGTATGTGCGTTTCATGTCTCTATTTCAAAAGTCATTGAAACATAGTGTGTGGCGGCCTACTTAACGGTGTCCCGTGATCAGCTCATCATACATGATGTCTTTTCGTATACGGCCGTAATTCATACAGTGTACATGTCCCAATCATCGAAAACCACGTTGACAAAGAAGAAGATTTATGTTCTAGGGGTCTGCTTGTTTCAGCACAAGTGTTAGTAACTTTGTTTCTTCATATCATGCCGAACATACGCCATAGGAAGCGGAGATGGAAGCTTTTCATGGGTTTTTCCTGTCTGACGTATGTTGTCCAGGTTTCGCTGCCGTAAAGTGGTTAGGACACATGCCTGAAATGTCTTTAGTTTGGTGCGCAATATTAGCTGACGATAGGTTGTTGGTGATAGTATAGCCCAGATAAGTGAAGTAATCCGTGACTTCAAGCATCACATCATCGATGCTGATTAATGGAAACATATTGACCCATGGCATTTATTTTTTATGTTAATAGTCAGCCTGAATTCCTTCTATGCATGGTTGAACTGACTAAACACCTTTTGAAGTTCGTGTTCGGTGTGTGTGGTCAGAGCTGCGTCATCAGCAAATAGCATTTCTTTGATGAGTACAGTAAAAAGATTTATGACAACTGAAAAATGATAGATGCGTTGTGAAGCATATGTTCAAAACGTTTAGCTACTTTAGACTGCGGAAGAGAGAGAGAGAAGGAGAGAGAAAAAGAGTATAGACGGGAGTAAGCCATTGTATATATATAGAGAGAGAGAGAAAGAGAGAGAGACACAGAATGACAGACAGAGAGTAGAGGGGGTAGAGTGTGTGTATAGAAAAAAGAGATAGAAGATAAGAGAAAGAGAAAAGCGTATATGGAGAAGTATAGTGAAAATGTGTAGGTGTAGAGAGGACAGAAAATGTGTATGTGTGTAGAGGAGAGATTGACAGGGAAAGTAGATAATGTATTAAGAAAGAATAGAGTGAGAGAGTGAGTGTATAGAGAAAAAGAGATGGAAGGGAATAGAAAGAGAGAGAGAGAGAGAGAGAGAGTATAGGCTGTATTAAGAGATTGTGTATATATTATTATGGATTTACGCAGCCCAAAATCCATAACCACATATTCTTTACACTTAGCGACGCATCTCTCTTCCCATCTCTCTAATAATATTACATAATGAACCCCCCTCTCTCTTTAAATATGTAATAACAGTCACTGGCTACAAAAACAATTAGGCCAAACAGGCTGAACCCCAGCGACAGGTCTGAGCAAAAGCCAGAAACAGATTCTCACACACGTGCAGAATCACGTGACCAAGTACGAACGGTGAGCGGGAAAGAATCGATAGAAGCTAGTTTGGTAACGAAACTCGAAGTCGGACCGGCTATGAAATCATCGTTAACCGAAATGACCGAACTGAAGAGAATGAATGATGTTCCTAAGTCACACAAATTTCAAGCACAGAATCAAGTAGGAATGCGTCTTGTGCGAATAATACATCTTTTTACTTGTTACAGTCAGGCAAGAGAGACGAATTTCAATTCAACTCAACGCACTATGCTGCTTACATCAATTGCATATGTGAATTGGGAAACGTGACAATCACCTAAGGCAGACATTATGTCACACACTCAATTGGATGAAGGATCCGAATAACGAATTCTGGATTGCCGAATATACGACTTCTAAAGAGGCGAATCTTCATATCCGAATAACGAATGCTACACCGAAGAAGAATAGATCAAATGATAACGCTGCTCCAGCAAAAAAAAATGATCTGAACGTAAAAAGGACAAAGAGATACATAAGAGAAAAATAGAGAAAAGGGAAAAGAGAAAACCTTAATTTATTTGAGAAGAAAGACTGAAACTAAGTTATTTCAACTTTTAACCTCAGAATATAGCGCATACATCTTTCCACACATTCTCTTGTCTAAACGTTTTCCTACATTGTCTAGTTATATTTAAATCTTGTTACTTTGTACTTGGCGTTTGTCGTTCCGAATTCGTGTATTTGATTTATTTTCTTTTTTAATCTCCACAAATATCCTTAAATGCCTATAATTTATAACAGAAGCCACTGGCCAACGGCTTCCCATACTTAATACTTCTCGTTTTTCACTCTCGCGTGATCATATGTGACGTCACGGACTGCAACGCGATTTGCGCTTCCGCGTCTCGTATATACTAGTTCGTCGTTACTTGGAAATTTTTCATGCAGCAAGGGCGGACTATCAGACACGGAAAGGAAATTGTAAAGCCTCTTACAGAAGGTAGCGAAGGAGAGCGAGAAGATAAAACTAAGCATAAACTACAAGAAGACAGAATGAATGGTTATCACCAAATGCAATTTACAGGTCGGGGCCACTAGAATCAAGCAGGTGCGGAAATTTAAAAATCTGTGAAGCGTTCTGACAGAGGACGGTAAGTGCGTCGCTGAGATACGAAGACATATTGGGATGGTCAAAAACGCATTCCAAAAGCTACGCAGAGTATTACGAGACAGGAGAATTTCGTTGGTAACAAAGAAAAGAGTACTGAACTGCTACGTGATATCTGTCCTCCTTTACGGCAGCGAACGGTCTCCTCAAAGATGAAGAAGAGACTCGAGGTAACAGAGGTATGGTTCTACAGGAGGATGCTAAGGATACCATGGACCAAACATATGAACAACGATGAGGTTTTGGAGAGGATGCAAACAATGAGGAAACTTATACTTAACATCAAGAAGAGGTAGATGAAATTTCTGGGACACGTAATGAAAAAGGAATGCTTGGAAATTCTGATACTCACAGGGTGAATAGAGGGAATAAGGGACAAGGGGAAGCAACGCGTGTCATACTCTGCGGGCAAGTGAATGGCAAAACAAGGTCTGAAAGAAGTAGCAAAAAGACAAAACTTATTGAGAGCCACAAGGAATAGGAGGAAGTGGAGAGCCATGATCGCCTACATCCTGAAGGGATAAAAGAAGAAAAAGAGAGTAGAAACAATGTAGACGGCGAGAGGGGGGAAGAGAGAGAGAGAGAGAGAGAGAGAGTAGATAGAGTAGAGAAAGTGTGTGTACAGAGAGAGAACAGACAATGTGAGAAAGAGTGAGAGAGAAAGCAAAGAGATTAATGCATTTTTAAAAATCATTTCACAACATGCAAGGCAATAAAGCCACTAAGAACAGAGAAAACTGAGCGTGAAAGAATAAAAAAGGGAAACATTATTAAGGAGAGAGAGCAATAAAAGAAGAGGGATTAAGAAAACAGTAGATGACCATTGACATTATATTTAAAATTTTGAAGATCAAACTTGTAAGGAAAGCAAGAAGTCAGAAGAAAGTTCCACAAGTGAGAAGTACGATAGAAGAAACTGTCAGCATAGAACTTACGGTTATATCTAGCCATTTCAGCAGTAAAAATGATGATACATAGTCGCCAATCTAGTACAGCGGTTAAATTTTTAAAATCTAGGTACCATAGAGGAAAGTTCCTAAGAACAATTACCATGAAAGTATTTACAAAAAAGGCACAGGGAAACTACATTACAGTGATGGGAAAGTGAGTTAAGTAGAGATGCCAGGTCAGTATTAATAACATTGCAGATTCTTCTTTGGATTTTATCAAAGATCTCTAAAGGAACTCAAGATCAGATATGGCAGCAATATTCAAAGCAAGGACGAATGGTAGACTTATATGATAAATTCTAGCGAGAAAAATTCTCTAACTCGACACAGTGAACCAACTTTTCTACCTGAACTCTTAGCAATTGATTCAATATAATAATATTTCTATGCAATTGATCCAATAATAATGTTTCTACGCCTTACCAGTTCGAGAATGGATTCCGCGTTGTCAACTCAAACGGGTTACTAATCAACTGAAACAAAATTTGCCTCTTTTTTGTTGTATATTCCACAACGAAACCAAAGTACGAACTTTCCCCTTTTCAAGGGCTTTAATTATAAACACACCTGGAATTCATGAAACACACTTCAATGTGTGTATGTAAACTTTCTACTTTTAAATGTTTTTTATTAAACACCCCTAAGTGTGTATATGTTAACTTTCCCGTTTCAAGATTTTATATAAGAACACCTCAGATATGTATATATGAACTTAACCTTTTTTTCAAGGGTCTTATATTCACCACAAAACATCTAAATAAATTGTTAGCTGTTGTTAAATAAATCATTATCATAAGTTTCATTTAAATCAAAATTTGTCTTAATGCCTTGCTTCACCATTGCGTTGGTAAATATGTTTCTATGTATATTGGGTCAATATTGTTTTATTCCAGACAGCACCTGGAATAATTATTAATCACTGCTACTACCTTAAATGAGTTAGGACCAACAACATATCACTTTCTGTGCAGTTCCCTCACCACATTTAATTAAACTCTAATTAAAAATTAAATGTGTCACGGTAGGTTGCTCATATAATTCTTTTTCTAGTAGGCGTACTGTGACGTATTTGAAATATTACATAGTTCGGGTACCCTAATGTCTTTTAAGAGGATCATAAAGAATGGTGATTTTAAAAGAAAATAAAAATTGCACGCAAAATCACGGATATCGATTGCGTATACGAAGGAAGACTGCCGAATTAATGTGTCGAATAAAAATAAAATAATTTTACTATTTCTCAATTCGTATAACTTATGCTGAAGATAAAAGGCTGAATGTTCAAAAGCCCTCCCCATAGGAGCTACCGTAAAGTCCGAGCGAAGGGAAACTTCTACGCTAATTCTAAATAAACTACTTTTCTGAATGTTTTGAACTTATTATTCCATTGATTTTTCATGATATTGTCACCTTTGTTGCTTTTAACACAATTTTTTCGACGGGTGTTTTTGTAATATGTGAACCTCCAAGCGAAGTATTTTTCCTTATTTCATTTTTTCTGTTGATATATTCTTCGGCCTTACTCATATTGTAGGGGAAGGGAGTAATGGTTAAGTGTAATTGGCAAAGTTTTTTCGACAGATATATTCTTCGGCCTTCTTTATATTGTAGGTGCATGGAGTAATGGTCAAGTGTAATTGACACAAATATTTCGACTGATATATTCTTCGGCCTTCTTCATATTTTAGGGGGAGGAAGTAATGGTTAAGTGCAATTGGTAAAATTGTTCAACAAACGGAAGTTTCCAATAAACAATAAGAAATTTTTATATTGTTATATCATAACCTCCTTTGAATATTTAAATGTTGTTACATTGTTAACGGACTTTAGAGTAGTATAATTTGAAATCTATTTTCAGTTTTGATTAGCGTTTCTTATGTATAGTATAAATACGATATCTGGTAATATTTCAACAAATTTATCTGCCTATGATGAGCGGTGTGTCCGCAAAACTTTGAAGCTGGTCGAGAGATAAGTTATGCGAATCTTTATTAATTTATTAAGCATTATCGCTCTAGTTTTCTACTGGGTATTTTCGCTTTGAAATACGTTAAATTCTAGTTATTTAACGTATTTCAATAATATTTTTCGTATATATAAACGCTGTTCTTGCTTTGAGAATCGAATTAACCCCTTGCAACGCTTCCACTTTAAAAATTTCATGCTTATTATTGTAAGTCACAACCGAGTCTTGTAATAACTTATGATGGTCATTCTCGACAACAAGTTGGACTCCGTCATGTTTGTGTGTATGTGTTTAAATTACATACGTGTCTATAAGCAAAAAAAAAAAAAAATGTCGTGTTTGAAATATTTTACCCACACCCTCATATGATAGAAAATTGGAAAGAACGTGCGAAGAGTCATATGGTTCAATGACATAACGGATATAAATTATGTTTCAGGACACACGAAAAAATTGTCATCGGCTAATTAAAAACAATCCCAAATCACAAATAACATGATCGTTTGAAAATGGAAATGAAATTTTCGGAAAAAAATTATTTACAGCACGATGTAATATGCACACACACCCTCAGGCAAGCAACACTCACACGTACAGACATTTATAGAGTTTAGCACAATCTGACACAAGACTAAAATCTTAGGATTTATATTTCTTAGACTATTCAATATGAAGCGTCTGTCGCTTTTTGCAATGTAGTCA